ATTATCGTGTGGGCGAGGCAATATCCGAGGTAGATCATCGGGTAGAGTGGGACACGTCGCCGAGGCGGAAGTCCCCCCTTACGCCCGAAATCGCTGTGACACCAGACACTCCCGTGCGTCGCCGAGACGGAAACGGGGTAACGATGTGAGACCGATGGGCTTCGGGAATGCCTAGTTGAGGGATCGAGAGTCTTCTCGAAATCGCAGAATGAAGGCCGGCGGCTCAGCGGCGATGATGGGTCGCATTCTCTCGTGCTGAGCGAAAGCACTCCGCATCGCCGGAGAGAGCATGTTCGAAGCACAAGAGATGATCGCAGATGCTTGCTCCCTGAAGAAAGTCGTCATCGGCTCGAAGTATGGCATCTGTGTCGCGAAAAGGTTGAGGTTGTGGGCCGTATGGCACCACATTCGGAGTCTGTTCATGCGGTCCTCCACCGATGTATGACTCAAGTCGGAGAGGGACGCCGTCATGCTGTGCCATACCATCGAGTAGATCAGTGTAGTTCGGGGCTCGACGAAGTTATTCGGGACACCCAGGAGCAAGACCCTCTCCTGGAGGGTGTCGTCCTGCGGGGTGTGGATCGGGAGATCGATGTACAGCCCGAACTGGGTCAGGTAGCTCCCGAAGGTAGGGCATCGAAGAACCTGTTCGATGTAAATGACGCCGTCATATGTGATTTCCCAGGGGGAATCGAAGGAAAAGGAAGAGTATGGGTGGTTGCCCGGGGGAAGCATCGCGACATTGTGTCCGGTCACCGGTGTCATCGCCTGCAAGTTCGGGGACATCATCGGAAAGTTGTCGAAGTGTCTCAAAGTCTGGAAGCCGAAAACGGGCTCGTGTGAGACCGGTGGATTGGAGCGAACATCGTCGATCGATGTCCTGCCCTTGTCCACAACCTGTGTGTCGAGCCACTGTACTCGGAATCTCTCGAGGCAAGACTGTCGTGGTGGCTGAGGCTGCACCGCGACTGGCACACTCGTGTGTGGGCTCCGCAGTGATGTCGCGACTGTCGAGGAGGAGGCCGCTCCAGACTGGGTCGTGTTCGGTGTAAAGGCTTGTTTCGGGTCTGCTCGAAAGAGGTCCACCGCCGGGTGAACCGAGAACCTCGGCGGGACCACTTTGGGCATCGCCTTCGTCTTTGCCTCCACAATGGTCGTGGTAGTCGACGTACCGAAGGCCGGGTTGATCCACTCGGAGTCGCTCGGGGGGTTCACCGCCGGAGCTGTGGCTTGGTCGGTCGGCTGTGTCACCTGAGTACTCGTAGTCGCCGTAATCGGAGGTGTCGACGGAGCTGCAATCGGGGGTGTTGGCGGCTCTGTGGCGTCGTCGTCCTCGTGCCAAGGATCTGGGGACCGCGGTCGGGTCTGTTGTGAGGTGGTGGTAGGTGTCGTAGTCGGGGCAGGAGTCGAGGTGACAATCTCATCCGGGACTTCGACGATTATCGGTGTGGTGTCGAGCCATCGCTTGGCCGGTGATTGTGATCGTCGAGGGAATCTCGCCGGTGACAATGGTCGTTGTGAACCTCGAGCTGCTCCATCGCCGGGGCGGAAGGCAGCTCGGGTGGATCGACCGAAGCTGGGGGCGTCGGAGTCGGTGTCCGTGCCCAACTGGAAGAATGGTCGCCGTGGTGTTGAACTCGTCGGTGCTGTCGAAGGTGCAACCGATGGGGTCGCAGTCGAAGGAGCCGCCGACGGTGTAGCTGCCGGAGGGAATCGAGGTCCCGCGGTAGGGAAAATATTCCCTCGTGGTGGAGTCGATGGCTGCCCCCATGTTGCTGGGGGTCGAGAGTCGTCGCGGGTTCGTCGGGGAGATCGTCCACGATGAGTACCCTCCGCCATTTCTTGTCGGAGTCTGGCTGCGGCGTCCGACCTGTCCCATGCTTCGAAATCGTAGTATTTGGAGAAGTTGGTACCGAAGTTGAATTTGCGCATCTCGGTGTGACGGAACGTAGCCATCGTGTCCATGATCCAATCGTTCGCCTGTGCTCGGGTCACCTGCTCAAGGAAAGCACCTCGAGATGAGTGGTGGAAAGGAGGCTCGCCGCGTCGTAGTTGTCGTTGCAGTACGACAGCTCGACGCATGGCATCGTCGAAGGTGTGCCCGCGTTGATTCCAACATCTTATTGTGGTACTCGCAGCATCCCTGGAACCATTTGTGGCAGATCAGATTGGGTACCACCCATTTCTTGTTCAGGAAATCGGGGTGTAGGTGCGTACAGTTGTGCATATTGCAGTTCTTAGCATCGAGGATTCGGGGGCAGATTTCTCGTCGAATCGAGGACACAGGTACTCGGGCTTCATCGTGGACTCTTTCGGGGAACTCGTCGAGCATGGAACTCGGCACAGGTGCAGTGATATGCTGCGTCGAACCCTCGCAGAGAAAGTCGAACCAAGAGTCGGATCGAGGAATTGCCATGGCTACGAAGTAGCTAATCCAAATCGATAGATGTCGTGTTAGAGGGCTTGTAAAGCGAGCTGTAGATGCAGCGGGTTCGGGATTATGAAGTTCCATACCGAAATCATCACGAAAAATGTCTGCCAAATGCTGATTATGCAGATCGGTCTCATGTACCAGAAGAGCAGCATCGGTGTCCACTGGAAGGGGTACATGGTCGGACTCGGGGTGTAGGGAAGCCTCGACGATCTCAAACGGGACCGTGAGTGGCTCCGCGGAGTCGTCGCGGTTGGTAATATGCAGGTACAAAAAGGCCTCGAGATTGGGCGGCTTCAGCAATGTCGCCGCCAGATTGACAATGTCGTTGGCCGTCCGACACTGGGAGATCTGGTCGATGGCCTTTCGAATTTGTCGGGACTGTCGTTTGTTCCAGGCAGCCCACGTCACATCCTCGGGTTTCTCGATCTGGAAGTCTTCGAGAACTTGCTCGCGGCTGAATTCCTCGAGCGATTCCTTCAAGCTGTCAACAACTGACAGAGAAGCCGTAGTGCTCGAAGTACTGGCCGCCAGCAGCGGTCGTAATAGAACTCGAAGTATTGGCCGCCCGGAGCGGCTATGACCGAGGAGTGATCCGAGGGGACTGAAACAAATTTCTCAAGCTGGAACAGCTTTTCGCCAAAATGGCTACGGAGTATACAATCATTCGAATTGATCAAGTGAGATAATGAGTTGTCACTTCGCACAAACAAGTGTGTGCTACACAACAAACAAAAAAAAGAAAAATGCATCGAAACAATAGAAAAAAAGAAAAATACATGGAAAACCTAGGAAACTAAGAAAAATATGGAGAACACAACAAAAAGTAACAAAATTCCACTGCAACAAACGAAATAAGAACCGGGAGGGACGGGAGCAACACGGGAGCAACACGGGAACGACATGGGAACGACATTGGGAGCAACATTTTTGCAACATTTTTATAAATTTTCTGCAAAAGCTCAAAAAAAGTATCAAAAACACAAAAGTTATAGCAAAACACAATGGAAACCAGAAACAACACAGGAGCTTCCTGCAAAAGCTGCAAAAAGTATCGAAATCATGCCACAATCTCAATGGACATGAAAACAAACACCGGGAGGGACGGGAGCAACACGGGAGCAACACGGGAGCAACACGGGAACGACATGGGAACGACAAACACAGGGAGGGACGGGAGCAACACGGGAGCAACATGGGAACGACATGGGAACGATTTTTGTAAGTTTTCTGCAAAAACTACGCAAAACAACAACACGACACACAGATGATACAAAAACTCATGAAACAACATCCCTAAACCCTAAACCTTAAAAAAACTGCCACATCAACACCAAAACTCAACGATAACCTTAAAAACACCAAGGTTAACACTGTGTGTGCTGTGCTGGAGGACAAGAGGTCGGGAGCGACGGGAGCGACACGGGAACGACATGGGAGCGACATCGGGAGCGACGGGAGCGACACGGGAGCGACATGGGAGCGACATCGGGAGCGACCGGAGCGACATGGGAGCGACATGGGAGCGACATCGGGAGCGACATGGGAGCGACATCGGAGCGACATCGGCATCGGGAGCGACGGGAGCGACACTGGAACGACATTGGAGCGACATTGGAGCGACATTGGGGAGCGACATTGGGGAGCGACGAAAACACGAAATCACTCCTAAAATCATATAAAATCTATACAATATATACAAATAATAATAAAATATTATATATATATATATATATATAGAGTACAAAATATAATTAGTTATACAAAATATACAAAATACATATAAATATCATAAAAAAATCTGCAAAATATATAAAATATACATATATATATATAATTATTTATATATATATATATATATATATATATACAAAAATATATAAAATCATATCTCCATTTGACTCTAGACTCTAGACCCGCTTTTTTTGCTGCGAAACCCACAGCACGCTCGGGAACCTGGCGAGTCCCTCGGTCCAGCTCGGAACGAGGACTCTCGAATTTTTGCGGCTGGAGTCCCGCCGTCTTTCGTTTGCGAATTGCCGCCTGGCGATTTTTTACGCCAGGTCCCTCTCCCTCACCACTCCTGGCGATTTTCACGCCTGCTCCCTCTCCCTCACCAATCGGGAGGCCGCCTCCAGCAAATCAGCAACTGCACTGGACCCCGCTGCCGATGCTGGCCGTGGCGGTGCCTGGCTTGCCGATGGGCCGGGTGAGCTCACTCGAGAGGCCCCACGTCTCGGCTTCTCAGGGCCCGGGAGGTGGCTGCCTTCGTGCTTGGCCTTCCAATGCTGCCAGTAGGCACACTCCGTGCCGAACGCCTGCGGAGGGGCCCTCTTTCAACACGATGCCGCCTTCCCTCTTCTCAGGCCGGCCTTTCTCCTCCTGTTTGCCGCTCTCGCTGCTCAGCTGGAGCTCGGCAAGGCAGCCGGCGGCTTCATCAGCTTTCTGGTTTGCTTCTTGTCGCAATTTCTTTGCATACGCCAAGCACCTTGAAAGCTGAGCCTCCGGAAGCTTGCCTTGCAGCTCTTTGCAGTGCAAGCCGCCGCCGCCGCCGTGGGTCGGATCAGTCTTAGCCGATGGGACCTCCGAAGCTTTGCTCGGGGAGCGGCTTCGATCCCGAGTCGTCCGATCCCTCCTCATCCGTTTGCTCCGAGCGTCGGAGTCGGAAGAGTCGCTTGAACCTGCAGGGCACATGTGGGAAAAGTAGATGGGAAACCTTACACACCAAACACGGTACACAACACAAACGGCAATGATGGGAGGACGGCGACGGTGATGAAAATGATTGTGATGTGCAACAGGACCGGCAGGATCCTGGCAGCCAGCCAAGGCAACCGAGCACCCTGGAGCAAACTTGCAGGATCCCAGAGGACTGCAACGCTATCCAGAGGCCCTGTGCCTGGCTGCTGATCCAGGACTGCACGGCATCCTTGCCAAAAAAAAAAACAGACCGTTCCACGATGATAATATTTATGTTGCTGCTGTTGGCTTGTTCCCGGACCAATGCCTGAGCGGCTTGAGCTTGAGCGGCCGTCACGCCGGCCAGGTGGCGGCATGAAAATCCTGGCCACAGATGCTTGGCTTGAAAAAGTTACCGCTTTTTTTTTCAGATGACCTCGAGGAGTTTCCCAGGTTGCCGGGGCCCACCGGAGCCCACACTGGCTCGGGCCGCAAAAGCTCTGGCTATCAGCTATTGAAACCCCTGCACACAGTCACTCTCAACATGCGACACATGCCTAATGCACAAAGTTCCCAAAAAGAAAATCCTTTTTGCAATGAGCCACACGGTCCAAGAGCAGGAACCAAAAGCATCCGCAGCAAAAAGCTATATTGACTCTCCCCCTCATCCGAACCGTCGCCGGCACTGCTCACATGGAGTACACTTCATGCGGCAGTTGTGCCCTTTCCCGAGCACGCACAAGCTCCCTTTGCAGCCGTTCGACCTCCAGATGCAATCGGCGACTCTCAGACGCCCAATCTCGATGTCGCAGCTGCTTGACCCTATCTGCCCCAGTTCGCACGCTCACCCACTCGGAATCATCCTCATTTTCGCTGCAAGGCTGAGTGTGCTGCTGGCCGTTGGCCAGCAGCCGTCTCAACTTTGAATTCTCTTTCCAGGCGAAACATAGCAAAACACTCAAAGCGAAAACTGCTGCAACACCGCAGCATCCATCAACTGAAATCGCTAACATGCTGACGGCTGCGAAATACAAACAAAAAGGGTCTGGCATCCCTTTCGCTTTGACTGTCCTATCGCAAGCAACAATCCTGTCACTACGCAACGGTTTTTTAATGTTCCGCAGGTGTCGCTCATCTCGTCTTGTGTTGACCGCACACTCACATGCTTCTGACTTGTGTTAACATATGTGTCTGCATGTGTGTCCCATATTTCACAAAGTTCGCAGAAACAACATGTGGTGTTGCAGCCGAAAGCTCTAACTAAGCTCTTGCATGACTTGCGGTCCCCGCCTCCCGACGTGAAAAGAAACCATTCGGTTAACCGCACAGGAGGCACAATTCAGTTGAGCCCAAAAGCACTCAGTCAAGATCTTCTTCTTCTAACCGTCGCTTGCTTCCCCGGCTTGGTTGGCTGCTGGGTGCTTCCTCAAATGACGTGGATGCTGTCAGGGGCACGCAGGGTTCAGGGTTTACGGTGTGCTTGCAAGAGGCCACTCTCCGGAGTGCGGGCTTTTTGTTTTCATCCAGCACCATCTCCATTCCGTTGCTGGCCGTGGCGACCGGCTTCTTTCTCTGGGCATGTCCGTTGTCTAAGACAACGCAAACAAGGAGATGGATACTGGACCAAAACTGGCTGCTAAAGACCAGCACAAACGCATCGGCATCACTCTCGCTTTCCTTGTCCTAACCCGTGTTCAACAAGTGCCACAACTCTGGTCACCACGCAGTCCTGTTTTAGATGCTCTGCAAGTGCAGCATGCAATCAATCTGGGCCTGTGTAGGCCGCAACCTGAGATGTTCCTCTACAGAGGCTGCTTCCATACTCGCCCAAGCCAGCAGCTTCGCCACCGTCTCTGAGCGGCCCAAATGCTCCACGAACAAGTACAACCTGCATCTCTTGTCACGGTGATACGGGCACTGGCAGAAGGCCCGCAACTTGCCCGACTCATGGCTGAAGTTGTCAAAGTAAATTTTACAGTCAAGGCCCGGAACTCTGGATTGCACAGGGGCCTGGCGAAGGTCAGGATGCAAAGCCGAAGGCTCGTTGGCCTCAATGGCCTCCGACATTACAAAGGCTTTAAGGTCCTCTAAAACAGGCCTCTGCTCACCTTCATCACCACTCACATCAGATTCGTCCCGCAGCCTCTGAGCAAGACCCCGGACTCGCCGTCCGGCTGCTTTGTCCTTGCTGAAAAAGGCTGTGATGTCGCTCTGCGACATGTGAGCGATGCTACTCAAATCCGCAGCAGCCAGCAAATACTCATAGTACGCCTGCTTCTGCTCGTGAAACATTCGTGGCAACTTCCCCGGCTTCTGAAAAATCCATGGTGCTAGGAACAAAGCCTTCAGATGCGACTCGGTAAGAGTCAACACATTCTTCGGCAAACACCCGGGAACATCATCAGATGAAATCTGCTCAGGGGTGTCCTGCCCAGGATTGAGCCAGTGCCATCCACTTCGCACAAGAGCCCTCACAAACTCAAGTTTGTTGGTACTTGGTACCCTTCTTTCGGGACCTGTTGAGGAGCTCCACTCTTGCATGGCTCAAAGGCAGGGGGTCGACCCAGAAGGTTTTGGGCTGCAGCAAAAACGGAGCCACCAAGGCGACCTGGGCATCCCCGAAGTCGTCAAGGTGGCACGCTACGAGGCCCCGTTCCGCTAGGTGCAGAACACTGGACATTGGCACGTTGTGTTCTGTTGACAGCCTAGACAAAGAGATCTCGGTCGACCCCAGAGCACCGGCATTCACGAGGGCATCCGCCACCTGCCGCTCCTCTTGGGATAAAGAAACGGCGGCACTGCACACTGACAACCCCTTGCCTGCCTGCCTCTCTGACAAAATGTCTGCCTGTGCTACCAAGGAGTTCTCTACTACTTGCTGCACGAAAACATCCAGCTTCATGTCATCATCCACCAATTCGCCTCCATTGATGTCTGGTAGGGCAGGGAAGAGGTCTTCCTCAGGCCCGGCAGGCCCGCTCTGAATCGCTAACCGCATGCCCGCAGACTCAGCAGACCAGACACAGACCTGCTGAAACATCGACAACACGAGGTCACGTGTGCAGGCTCGCGACAGATTCAGCATAGTCACAGACGACCCAGACCCACACACCTTAACACGATTGCAAACACCGTCTACATTCGTGATCGGGCGAACGTCCGAGAAGATCTGCACCAGCATCCCGTTTCTGCCTTTGTCCTCAGCGAGACCCTGTTTCACAGACGCACGATTTTCGGGTCGGGCATGATGACCTGACAGTAAACCGTTCCTCCGGGGACCAAGTCCGGGAGTCCGAATTCTTCGTCACCAAGAGCCTCAGACAGGAGGTCATCATCTACGTCATCTTCAGCATCATCACCTTCCTTGTCCTCCTCCTCCGGCTCATCATCTGCTGAAAGTAGCTCGAAGATACTTCGGGGAAGGAACATAGGGTGCCGTTGCTGAGCTGTTGCTTCAGAAAACTCACCCACTGCCTGTGGCCGGGCTTCAGCACTGGCCCACTCGCCGCTTGGTTGGTGATGGCTGCTGCAGCAGCCTTGAAGGCTTCAGCGATGTCGAGGAAATGATCCGCCAAGCTGTAGCAGCAAACACGAGACAACCGCTTAGCTTCGCTCATTCGTGCTATTTCGGTCGGACTCAAAACGTGGCACAACAGGTCCTGAAACCATAGTTTGCTCCTCGTCCATTGCTGCAGCACATGCAACCTTCGGTCACCGTCGCTGGTCACCATTTGCAGGACCTGCTACTTTGAAAGGCAGCTTCTGGCACCAAGCGAACTTGTCTCGCAGGACCGCTTCCAAGTTCTGTCGCACTAGACCATCTGTCCGCAGTCTTGGTCAAACTTCAGCAACTCATTGTTCAAATCACTAACACTCACCTCACGAATGATGTCCAGAAACTTCTGAAGGCCATCAGGCGAACACACACAGACGCTTTCCTTTCCACGCACACAAGGAACCCGTTGCTGACAAGCCCGTTTGAGGGTCCAACAGCTCTTTGCCGTAACGGGATTGCCTGAAGGATATGTCCCGCTCATGGCAAAAACATCCTTCCAGCCACCTTGAACATTGGCCAACAGCTCCGGAGAGAACGCTTGTCCACTTGCCCCGTTCTTCGTGCTGCCCAAAGCAGCACGAATCACCTGGGCAAGTTTCCTTTCGGACGCTCCCAGAGACCCGCCATGCCACTTCTCTTTTGGGATTGGGCTCTTGCTTCCAGTGCTTTGCACAATACTCGATGCTTTCCCATCTCCAATCGATCACTGCATCCAGCCTACGTATAAGCTCTTGGTCTGCTGCTGACAGGCCAGGTGTACAAGATCTACATGAGACTTCTGCGAAACCCTGCCCACTGCCCTCAGCTCCGTCTTATACGGGCCCCACAACGGGGAAGTTTTGAGAGCTGATTCAAGGGCATTGAAAAGAATGTGTATTACTGGGGAGGTCCACTTTGAAAGGCGCCGTTTTTGAGCAGGTTTTGGGCCCCAAAAGTGGCCCCGAAGCTTTTGCTGGTGAACCTATTTTTTCTATGCCGTGTTTGCGACAGTTGTCAAGCCAGGCGGTTCTTGCCGAGCACGCCAGCAGTCCGGCTTTGGGGCTCTCGACATTTCGCAGCAGGGTCCAGAGTGCTGCCCACATTGTGTTGTTTATCGCGAATTCGGTTTCTCCGAACAATAGAACCACCAAGTGGGAAAAAATGCTATTTCTACTGGAAAATGTGCACTGCGCCACAGCGGGAGACACAGAACAGAACGGTTTTAAGCGTTTTACAGTAGCGCGGCGCGCAATCATAACGTGCTTTAGGCGCGTTATGATCATTTTCGCTGGCAGTTTCCAAGGAAACGTCAAAATCGTAACGTGCTTCGTGCGTCAAACAAAGCTCTTTAGTCTTTTTTTGTGGCGCGCGAAGCACGTTACGATTTCGAGTTTTCCCTTGCAAATGCCAGCCAAATCAATCGTAACGCGCCTAAAGCACGTTACGATTGCGCCCCGCACTACTGGAAAATGCCAGATTTCGTTATCACACAAGCCTGGAACTGTGGAAACAGTGCGATTTCTACGCAAGATGCTGCGAGAGCAGGGCTGGACCTGTGAAAATACTGCAACTTTGATGGACGATGTGCTTCAGAATACCACAATTTCGCTGTCAAACATGCCTGGGACCAGAAGCGAGCCGGGACCGCCGTGCAGATTGTTTTTGGGCTCCGAGGCAAATAAACCGGAAGTGAAAGTATCAGACGTGTTTCTGTGTGGTTTTCACCCAAGACTGAGACCAAGAGACCTTCCTGGTGGGCTCCGAGGCTTACAAACCGGAAAGGAAAGCATCAGACGTGTTTCTGCATGGTCTTCGCCCAAAAAAATGGGACCAAGAGACCTTTCTGGTA